AAAGTACCAGCCAAGCTCATCTTTCAGTCTGGGATGGGCAGCTGTAGTCCTGCTTTTCCCCAGATCTCAGTTTTTGGGGTCTCAACCAGCTGCCCAGTGAACACTCCTGACCTCAGCCATGAATTGTTTCAACCCCAGGGGAAGCCCCAGTCTCCACGCGTGCGTCTCGGGGGTCTCACCCTCTCTCTGCTGCTCGGTCAGCTGCTCCCGGGGGAACTCCACGTCGAAGGTCACGATCAGCGAGCCGCGGATGTTGTTGTTGTCGAAGTTGGGGAGCCCCTCTCCCTTCTTCCACAGCTTGGCCCCCGGTTTGGTGATTTTGTCGCGGACGATGTGCACCTGCGTGGACAGACAGCGGGAGACGGACAGAGAAGAATGGCAGAAATCAGAAGGGAGGGAGAGAGAGAGACTATGAGCACTGAGGCACACACAGGCCATTCAGCTCATGAGGGCTCAGCAGCTAATTAATAAGGCCCTCAGTCAGCCGCTCCCAGCGAATCAACTTCAGCATTTATAAAGCTTAAATTTCCTCTCCATCCTTGCATAGTTGCACTGTTAATCCAGAACTCATTTAAATGTCATTTCAATTTCATAGCGCCATTCATAAATTGTGAAACGCACGGGTATAGTCCTGAACTCCACATTCAACCAGTGCAAACACGCCATCAATTCAGCTGCTGGATAGCTTCAACAACATGGCTGCCTAGCTTGTACCATATACCCACAGCCCTTTGTGTAAAGAAGAACCTCCTATTTCAGGTTTAAATGCACAGCCACGTTGTTTCACCTGAATGAAAACAACAGGTAGGCGACTGACTGTTCCATCCATTCGTTGCCAAACAGGAGGACGGAATATAAATGACTTGCTTGTGGTTTTTGGATGGAGGGGTCTAAAATGCAAGGGGGCAGAGTGTTCCCAGTCTGTTATTGGGAGGTGTGCTCATGCCGCATGAGAACGGGTCAGGCAGCGTGCATGGGCACTCGTGAGCGCACCTTGTGTCCATCCAGATGTGTGATGTCCATCTCAAAGCCCACCAGCGCCTCCACCAGGGAGATGGTGACATTGGTGTAGAGATCATCTCCGCGCCGCTCGAATACGGGGTGTCTGAGGAGAAACACACACCATCAGACCACCAGTCTTCTCACTGAGAGAGGAGGGAGAGACACAGGGAGAGGGGACGGGGCCGAGGAAAACAGAGAGGAGGAGGAGAGAGGGATGGGGACAGGGCAGAGGAAAACAGAGAGGAGGAGGAGAGAGGGATGGGGACAGGGCAGAGGAAAACAGAGAGAGAGGAGGAGGAGAGAGGGATTGGGACAGGGCCGAGGAAAACAGAGAGAGAGGAGGAGGAGAGAAGGATGGGGACAGGGCAGAGGAAAACAGAGAGAGAGGAGGAGGAGAGAGGGAAGGGGGCAGGGCAGAGGAAAACAGAGAGAGAGGAGGAGGAGAGAGGGATGGGGACAGGGCAGAGGAAAACAGAGAGAGAGAGAAGGAGGAGAGAGGGATGGGGACAGGGCAGAGGAAAACAGAGAGAGAGGAGGAGGAGGAGAGAAGGATGGGGACAGGGCAGAGGAAAAGGAGAGAGAGGAGGAGGAGAGAGGGATGGGGACAGGGCAGAGGAAAATGGAGAGAGAGGAGGAGGAGAGAGGGATGGGGACAGGGAAGAAGAGAGCAGAGAGGGGAAAGGGTACAGGAAAGCAGAGAAAGAGAAGAAGAAAGCAGAAGGTGAGAGAGGGAGGGAGGGAGGATCACAGGTTCAAGCGGGGGAATGGGAACAGTGGGAGAAGGAGAGGACTGCATTCTCAGCTGTAGCACAAGCTCTCTCCCCAGCACTCCCACACGTCCGTTCCCAGCTCGCTCATTCCTGCACTAAACCCACAGCAATCCCCCGGGGCTCTCACTTCATCACTTTGATGCGGAATCGCAGGTCTCCGGGCTCCCCGTCGATGTGCGGCTCTCCTGCAGAGAGAGAGGAAGACAATCATACACACTGTACAAGCCGGGAAGAGCACACAATGGTGTGGACAACACGATACCGCCTCGGGCCTCGTTTGGAAACAGTGTCTTACCTCCATCGGTGTGGGAAACTACTGCGCTCACTTCAATTGTTTATTCCACAGACGTGCGCTGCTCATTGCATGCTGGTCTGCCCAGACCTTGATCTAAAATTCATCAGCTCCTACACTAACCTGGACCCAGTCTAGAGACCGCACCAATCACGTCCCATAACACCCGCACTGGGCCCCCTGTTCTGTTCCATGCTGATCTCCAGGCTCCTCCCTCTGCTTTCGCTGAGCTGCGACAGCATGCAGACTCCCGCCTGGCATTTCCAGAGCTCAGGGCTCCGGAAAACAGCCCTCTCACTGAGCACATGATGCCCATAAAGGAGCAGTGGCCATTGATCTGAGAGTCTCCTCCAGGCTACTTCTAGAAACAAAACAGGCTGTGGGCTTCAACAGCATGGCTGGGTAGCTCGTTCCCTACCCCCACAACCCTTTGTGCAGCAAAAGTGCCTCCTGCCTCCTGTTTAAATGCACTGCATGAAGACCCCCTTACAGATCCCATCAGACGGTTGGAATCCATCTTTTCATCCCAGAAAACGAGGCACCTCTTGGATCTGGGACTTTCCCCGCTCAGTCTGAGCCCCCGCGGTCTGCTGTCTAAGAGTGCAGTAGAAATCACTCCGGTGCACGGTGTAGGGTCGCAGCATGAGGAAACTCGCCCACGAGGAGAGTAACGCCACTAGAAATGACTGTGGGCACGTCTCTGCCTTCAAGGCCACGCGCTCTCGCAAGCTTGACGTCGTTTAACCACAGTTTGCGAGTCTGCTGCGTTACCTTCACCGATGAAGGGATACTCCATGTCGTCTCTGACCCCCTGCTCGATCTCCACCTCCAGAGTCCGCTCCTCATTCACCAGCCTGGGGGGAGAGAGGGAGAGAGAGAGAGAGAGGAGTCAGGGCGCCGTGTCCCCCCACCCGCTACAGCTCGGGGGTACCCCCGTTTGTCCCGGGAGGGCGAAGCACTAACGTCCAGCCCCCCCGTCGCCCACCGCTCCCAGCACTCACTTGACATTGGGACACTCATCGCAAACCACTTCCTGGGTCATCTGGAAGCGGCCTGGCCCCAGCTGCGTGGTCCTCATTTCCTGTCGGCAGTTGCACTTCCTCTTCCCAGGGGCCTCCTTCGCCACCGGCTTGTTGCGGATCACCTGCAGGAGAGGTCAGGAGTGCGCGGGGGAGAGGAGGGGAGGGACACCCCGTGGTCAGTAACTTCTTCATTGCAATTCCAGTGCAAGCCGCGAACTCTGTTTCACCAACTTCGGCTTTACTAGGCAAAATCTGCTGAAGGGGAATTACTGTAAGTCTCTAAAACCAGAAATACCGGACATCCCAGCAACCATGGGGAAAGGTACAAATAATAACACACAGTTAAAATAAATGCTAAAGAGGTTCAAAATTCAGGAACACAGACCATGCCCTGAAACGACAGGTCAGTTGCTTACGATGGGCGATCGGTGCTTCGAGGGCTTTAGCGCATTTTGAACAGTGTATTTACTGTAGAACGCATGGAATAAAGAGCTTGTGTGCTTCTGATAAAAAGGGCACAGGAACAATTTTCCTTTACTGCGCTGATCGCAATTCAAAAGATCCAGTAAACATACATAGTATGTATTCTTCCTGTATGTTTTTGGGCTGAAAGAACTACAATGTCCGATTTAACAGACATTCTACAATAACAACACTCCTTCCCTCCATTAGTTTTTTTTAAACCGAGGGCTTCCTGTCCTTCTACTCTCTTCATCTACACGTTAATGTTTACTTTAAACAGTTTATGTAATTAGCATAATCACCACATTAACACATCATCCGCTACTTGATGTTTGCGGCTTGTGTTTAATGACCTCCCCACCCTCACTCCTGATGCATTCTGGGGGGGAAGTTGTGCTTGTCTGGATTTACCTCCACAAAGTTCCCAGAATACACTTCTTCAAGGGTCACGTCCAGGTCAAGGACGATATCATTTCCTCGGGGAATGTTCCGGTCCTGTTGCCGCGGGTTACCGCCGAACATGAACCCAAAGTCGCCGAAGAAACTGGAAGAGAGAGAGAGGAGAGGAGAAATCATTTAAGAGGATGAGACGTGAGGTCGGGTGTAATTTTGCTACCAACGGCACGGAGCTGACAATCAGCCGACCAGAATGGTTTCATTCATCCATCCATCCCCACTCTCTCACTCACACCAGAAGCCAATTAAACTATAACTATGTGGAGGAAACCGACGCGAACACGGGGAGAACATACAAACTCCACACAGACAGCACCCCAGGTCTGGAATCGAACCCAGAGCCCCTGCGCTGCGAGGCAGCAGTGCTAACCACTGTGCCAACTACCAAAACAGCTGATGAAGCCCAACCGAGCCGAGCAGTGAACTGAGCAATCGTTACGGACTGGACTCGATATCAAGTCCCATGAGCCAATCCACAGAGCTCTCGCTGTTACCAGGCTGACCACAGGGCACCAGCCCAGCCTCACCAGCCTCGTGTGAAGATGTCCCCACCCCCCCCTCCCACTGTCCCCACCCACCTGGAGAAGATGTCCCCATGGGAGCTGTGGTGCCCCTCCTTCAGTCCCTCCTCCCCGTAAGCGTCATACTGCTTCCTCTTCTCCTCGTCCGACAGCACCTGCGGGAGCACACACCTCTTGCCCTTTAGGGACTCCCTGGGGGGACGGGGGAGCCCCGGACCCCCAGTCCCTGCAGGCCTCCCTTCGCAAGCCACTGATGCCTGCGATACAGTTAAGGTCAGGGACCTCGCACCCCGACTCCCCGCTCTGCAGCACCAGGTGGAACTGAGAGGGACGTGGCCAAGCACCCACAGGAGCCACCACAAACACCACAGCATCTGGCACCACGCAGGACCAGGTGCACAAAAAGACTGCTGACTGCGTGCATACAATGTGCAGTGAAGAATAAGAGGCTCATCAAAAGGACGATTCTGTCCGCGTCATTTTCCAACAACACAGGAACAAGTCATGTAAGACCATTGACCATTTGGTACTTGGACATAATTCTCAAATCGAATCGTTTCTTCACTATTACGAAACGCATGCATTACATCAACAGTGAAACACAGAGTAGGTACAGTATAGCATTGCCTTACTATTTCCATTAATTAACCTGGCTATATTATTCAGTATTTTGTGTGAGTGCTCAACGCAGTTCAGGAATGTAATCTCTAATATTTGTTTTTAAAGAGATAGGAATGCGTTTTCATTTTATGTATTTTTTCTACAAATGTACAGCAGCTCTTCTGAAATAACGCTTGCTATAGCTGGGAAAAGAACGCTTTTAAGATTTTCTGATGTAGTTTCATATTAAATTACTATGTAATGAGCAGATTCGCAGATTTCCGGTCCCGGCGTCTCAGACAGCCGCGTGGTTAAAACAGCTGGCTAATTCAACTTTCACCCCTTCACCCCTCAACCAATCACATGCGGCCACACATGCTTGTCGACCAATCAGGACGGGCCTCCGTTTCCAACAACAAAGGAACTCTCAGCGGCTCACGAGAGGCAGCGTGCTCTCTGAGCCCCGAGCTCTTCCACATCGCGGCAGGTGCAATTAATAACGTCATCAAAACACACCTAATTAATGACGGTACGGAGCTGCCGTGCCCCAGTCAAGCGCGATTCTGGAAAAAGCCATCGACGTTTTGAATTTTACGTTGCTGCAACCGAAACACGTTGCTAAAGACAACTGAGACCGAACGAGAGAAGATTCAGGAAACAGGTCTAACAGAAGGGACGCTATTACATTACACATACGTTTTCTTCGGAAGACAATTTAATTAGGTCTGTCTTGCCAAAAAAGGCCCAGGAGCTAATAAACAACAACACCTGCTTGAGTTTCAGGCTCAGGGCTTGCTGGGTATCATGACCCAGATTTTCCTTTTAATGTTACTGTGGGTTGTACAAAAGCATAGTCCACGACACAAGGTGCTATAATATTACACAACTGTAGCCCAGATGCCAGTAAGGCGATTGTCTTTCTCTCCGGGGTCTATACTGACACACACACCCCCACCCACCCACGTTCTCTGAGGGAGAGAGACAGCAGGAAGGAAACAGCTGAGCCAATCAGAACAGTCCAGGTGTGACTACAGCCTCTGGATCACTGACAGGCCCCACAAACACCACAGACCTGCTGGGCAATCACCGACCTTTGTCTAACCCGTTGAGCCAGTTGACATTTCCAGTGACAACCTGAACCGAAACACTCTATAGCACAGGAGACAAGGCAGTGAAAGAAGAGATCGAGTGATATAATCGAAATCACTGGACGGGGCCCAGTGCAAGTGTAGGGCAGGAAGGATTCCATCACCCAGCCAGAGAGGAGGGTTACAGTAACGCCGCAGAAGTCCCCAGGGATATCAGAGAGCCACCTTCTCTAAACTCCTTCAAATCCAGACTCAAAGCCACCTTCTTCAGAAACACCTTTCCTTGACTGGTTCTGTTCTTTACCCCCTGATCCTACTGTATTCAGTACCCCCATCTACTGTCTCCTCTCATTGTGTGATCTCATTGTGCAAATCTTGTGTAATTTTTATTTCATTGTTGTTGTTCTGTAAAGCTCTTTGAGAAGCCACCTTTAAAGGAGCTATATAAAATAAAGTTTATTATAAGTTGATATACTAGCATTCATATCATTGACTTCTTTAGTCACAGCACGTACTGCTACAGCAGGGTGTGGTACTGGGCAGCAATCCTGCTGTGAATATTTCAGCAAGAGCAGCACAGACTGATTTCTGCCTGAGTGCAGGTGAGAAGCCAGCTGAGGCTATTAAACACCTGCTCACAGCTGGGGGTGGGAGCTGCACTTGTACTGTGCTGGGATGTCCTTGTTGTTTGTGTACTGTTTGTCGTATTGCTCAAGGAAATGATGCCAACACCTTACAAAGCAACACACGCACTCCTGGTACCGGTGATATCCATGAGCTACCAGGCCCTGGCGTTACAGGGGCAGCCCTGCTGGCCTCCTGCGGCTCACTCGTCGGGAATGTTAGGGACGCTTCTAGGGACGTGTCAAAATCAAACCAGGTCATCCCCTTGTGCCCCAGCAGCAGCCTCCTGCAGGTCCAGCTCACTGGTTTCCACTGCGCTTGGGGGCACCGGGGAGCAGCAGGACACCGCGCTCCAGTCGGGCCCGGCTCACCCACCTCGTACGCCGCGCCCAGGTCCTGGAACTTGTCCTGCGCCTGGGGGTCGTCCGGGTTCCGGTCCGGGTGCAGCTGCAGGGCCAGTTTCCTGTACGCCTTCTTAATGTCCTTGATGGACGCCGACCGGGACACCCCGAGAATCTTGTAGAAATCCCGCCTGGAACCGAGGAACAGACAGCGCCACGGAGAGGGCTGCTTACACACAAGCTGGAAACAGACAGCTCCATTTCCCCCCTGTACCCCTCGGGGCTGTTGGACGAGCACTGTGGGGTCCAGTGTGAAGAGACTCTGAGAGCGCGCACAGGAAAGTCTTTCTTACAGTCAGAAGGGACACTCCAGGATTCCCACAGTATCCCTCCCAGATGCAGGGGACGGACATGAAACACGCAATGGGGCTGGTGTTCCCTCCAGTCAGCCGAAAGGAAACCGAACCCACGAGCGAATGAACCCCGAACGAGAGGGAACCCCGAGTCGGTTGCATTCATGGAAACGTCTGCGTACAGTTTTGCAACCCACTTAAAATATATATATTTGAAAAAAAAACTGACGAGATAGTTTTAAAGAAACGGGCTGATGCATCCCAGTATGTAACAGGGCACGGACCGGTGTGTTAGGTAAGGAGGTGCGTACATCGGACCCTGCGCCAGCCCTTTCAAAGCGTGTATAGCGACCAGGCAACACCAGTGCAACATACACCAGCTCCCCTACGGGGACACGCCGCCAGCAAGCCTGTTAAAAAGTGCAACAGCCTCAAAACCCGCAATTCACAAGCGGCGGCTTGCTATCGCCGCCCAGCCCGGCGGAAGGGTCCGAGCCGCGGCAGACCAATCACAGCGCAACATGTGTACCAGCCGGTATGAGCGCCGCTGAAAGCGCCTCGGTTGACTCACCCTGCCAGCACAGCCGCCGCGAAATACAGCAGCAGACAGCAGGCGCTGCTCAGACTCAGTACCCTGGAAGCCATATGGATGTTTAGTTTTTTTTTTTATGTAGTTTTTGTATTTGTCCACTTCAGCCCGCTCTCCGGCTCTCTCCCCCTCTGCGCTCCGGCCCTCCTGTCACTCTGCCTCTCTCCCGCAGGCTCGGCAGCGGCGCTTCCGCCCGGAAGGCCCGCCCCCGCGAAGGCCCCGCCCCTCCCCGGCCTGCCTGCAGGGGGCGCGCTGGGCTTGGGCAGCTGAGCACGCCGCCCTCTTGAGAAAGGGCGCCTTACTTTCAAATCAGTTGCTGAGCAGAAGCTATTCGTTTTTGTTTGTGTGTTATGGGGTGGGGGATATAAAAGCTGTCACCGGGTTTAATTTTCTGAAAATACCTGTTACGGTTATAGTCTTTTGGTAAAAAAAAAAACACAAGCAAATCTGACTCCCATTTCACAACACTTTAAATCGGTCCGAGTTTTGTGAGCGGAACGCTCTGCCTCAGCTTCTGTGGATAAAATCCCGTACTGAGAGCTTAGAAATAACATTTTAAACATAACGATTTATTTCCCCGCAAGCGTGCTGTTGGAAGACTCGACCTTGCGGTGTGTGTTGTCTGACATTAAAGCAGTCGGTGTCGGTATCAGGCCGGATGGTTAATTAATGCGCTGGGAATTTTTTAGGAAGCCGGACTGGAGCCAGCGCCTCCTGCTCGTGCCCGCGCTCCAGCTGACGACGTGCGCGCTCACGAGGCCGAGGAAGCGGCGGCGCCAAAAGCAAGAGAGAGGCGGCCGGCTGTTTTAAGCAGGACAGAGACAGAAACCCCTTTCGTATTAACCTGTGGGGGCACAGGGGTCGCCAGATAAGTGTACTAAGACTTACAGAGGAGCCCCCAGCCCCCAGCCCTCAGCGGGACGGTGGGGCCGGTCCGCGGAAGGTGAAGCTTGCGTGTCTGTTGTGTTGCGGCGAGGGAGCGCCAGGTATGTCGGTCGGGGAGACGGGGCCCTCGCTGGAGCTGTTGCCATGGGGACGCGGAGGGCTTTCCGCCGGAGCCGGCTGGGTGTTGGCGAAGGCCACAGAGCCGACACCTGGGGCTTTCCTCGGTCGTGCACGTTTTGTTTTCCTCCGTCATGAATACGGGAAAATAGCCAAATCGTCCACTGCGTACGACGCAGGTTTACACTTTAAACATTGAGTGGCGAGTGTTTTTTTTCCCTTTAACGTTCATGTAGTCCAGGTGGCATGGGTTAGAAACGGTCTTTTTGACTCCTTGGTGTTGCAGCGTCTTTCTCTGGTGGTTTATCCGGTGGTTTCTGCCTGCCAGCCTTTCTGGAGTGTCTTGGCCAAGTCATCTTTCTCCTCTCATCTGCGTTTCTCCTACGTGTCTGCAGTTAGACTGCTTGTCATCGGTAGGGGCTACTGTGTGACTCCTGTGTCCTACAGCTATTCCTGTTTCCGTCTCTTCTCACTCCATCGGCACCTTCTCAGCCATGTTAGCATTGGGCAGTGCCAGTCAGACTGGTCTGTATTTGTCCCTGCCTGTCTCACTCTCCCAGGGTGTCAGAGTGATGGATCAGTGCAGTGTCAGTGTGTGTTTTAATCCCTCTGTCCCTGCCTCTCTCTCTCCCAGGGTGTCAGTGTGTGTTTTGACCTCTCTGTCCCTGCCT